AGGGAAAGGATGGGGGACAATTACAAGCCAGGTTCTGGGTGTGTAGAATGTGAGGTACATGAGGGACTCTTAGGGAGCGCTGTCTCAGGATGGCTGAAATGGGGGACCAGAGCTTGGGAGAGAGCTGGCCTAGTTGATGGGTTTGAGAGCTGGTGACCAGAGCTGCGGGAATGGATGAGACCATTCAGGGGAAGTGAGCAGAGAAAACCCCATCATCAAGGGCCAGGAGGAGGAGGAGCCAGAATGAACTTAGGAAGTGGAATGTGGGAGATAAGGGCTGTGGGAGGACAAATTCAGGGAAGAGGTGACATCTGAGTTGGGACCTGAGTTAGGTAGGATGTGTACATGAGGGGAGGGATGTTGCAGCTGGGGGGAGGGAAGAGCATGGTTGGAGGTGTAGAGGTAACACGTTGTGGGCTGTATTTGGGGGCAGTGCCATGTATGAGGCTGCAATGCAGGCTTAGAAGAGGGGAAGTTAGGCTGTGTTTAGACTTTGCTTGGTGAGAGCTAGGAGCCAATGGAGGATTTAGAATGACTCTGCTATCCTAATACCATGCTAATGATGGTTCTGGGAGACGAGAGAGTCAGGAGTAATGCTGTGAGCTTCCTGCTTTTTGGGTGGGCTGATGATGCCTGGCTGGGGACAAGGTGGGGGCAAGTGAGGTTGCACAGAGGATCTCCCCCGGGGCTCTGTTCTAAAAAGCATCCCTGAGGAAGGGCGACTGACTTGGGGAAGTTGTATGGCCACAGTTAAGTTGTGGCTCTGAGTGGCTATCCCGTGTCTGTGTAGGGCATGAGTGGGATAAGTAGAGCCTGGGTGGGTTAATGTGGCGATTAACCAGAAGATGCAGAGAGAAAGGTCGCTGGGGCCAGTGCCCAGGAGCACCAGGAAATGAAACGAGCAGACATAAATGGCTGATCTGCACAGAAATATGTGCCTGGCGAGCAGTGGGGTGAGAATTCCACTACCTCCCCGTGGACAGTGAAGACCCTGAGATTGTTACAGGCGGCACTGAAGTATTTCTGCACAAGGCTGGGCGCAGGCTGGATAGCAGAAGTTCCCTCCGGGAGAGGGACCCCCCAGTACATGAGGGAGAAGCCCCAGAAATCCTGATCACCTGGGGGCAGCAGGCCCAGGAACGCTACCTGAGCGGGAGTGAATCCTGCTTGGCCCATGTCACCCCCTTCCTTAATGTTTCCACTCTTCCACTGATTTCCAATGTTAGCACATTAAGAAATGTTCATTACAAAAGTTCTCTTTGTGCATCTAGAATTCTACAGTGTAATTTACAAGTCATGAAAATAACTAAAATAAGAAAGGATGAAAGACAGAGCAGTGATTACAAAAATAAAATGACTATGTAGCTATGGAAAATCCTATTAAAGAAAACAGACTTCAATTGTAATCTTGTGGAAGAATGAAAATTAAATAAAAGGGGTAAGCAGATACATCCCATAGTTCAGCCGAGGGCCTCTGTGTAAGGATACACCCTGGGCACAGCCAAAAACATTTTGCTAAGACTCGGACACTAAAATAAGTACATAATGCAAATGCTGGCATGCTCAGACCAGACAACGCTAACTTTTCCATCTTTATAAAGGTCATGTTTCACATAAGCACACATTGTGCTGCCTGACTATTGCTACAAGTATAGACTGGGAGATATGATTTTAAAGTTTTCTGTCACTAGTAAACTTGTTTATTTACTTATTTTGCAAATTAAGACAACCTGTAATATTTACGTGATTCTTTGAGATAACTAGAGAAACCCAAACTTTGAGAATCATTTAGAGTGATGGGCTTTAACTGCATTCCTGAGGATATAATGAGAAGTGGTAAGACTAGTAATTTCCTTGCCTCGGATAGTAATGCCTGACCTGGTTTGGATGGGGCTGGAGGAGGGCCCTTGTAGCCTGAAGGGTTTGGTGGAGCTGCCATATTCAAATGAGGAGAACCAGCTGCTCACCAGCCACCCTTGTGTCATTTCCTGGGCCTTGGCTCTCCTGGAACATCTGGACTGCTCCTTTCCAGGCTCAGACCTGTCCCGCTCTGTGGCCAGCCCCAACTGAAGTGGGAAGTCCCACAGGTGCTCAGTTTCCCATCCACAAGGGCTTCTGACCCCCAAATCCTCCTTCCCGAAGCTCAGGCCTGGGGCAGCTGCCAGGCCCCGTAGGGTTCCCTAAGGCTACCTCACCACCTACTAGTGTGGAACCTCGGAGCTTCCAGGTCCCTGCTCAGGGAAGGCTGACTCTCTACCCAGCTCCTGGCTCCCCTAAGATAGGCGTCCTATTTCTGAACACTGCCTGGTACTGGGGCCTGCTTTATCTGGGCTGGACTGTGGGTGTGTACACCTGCCACAGCTCTCCACGCACTGCCTAGCACCTGCTCCCTGACCTCAGCCCTCACTGTGTTTAATGGCTAACGACTGAGGCTGCTGCATAATGGGCCACCTTTGAACACTAGGCCTCTGGAGACCTGATATAACTGGGGCAGTTTCCATGCCAGGCCTCAACTCCCTCCTCCTCTCACCTGCCTAGTGCCACCTGAGTCATGACCCTCAGGTGGCTTGCTCATGCTGGAGGCTGCTCTTAGCCTCAATCACCACCTCTGGAAGTTCCAGTGGCCTGTTTTGTGGAAGTCTGTTATGCCGTCTCTGCATGGCCACCCACCTCCTGCCCCGCTCTGGGCATCCTGAGACAATAACCTAGGTCACATCCACACATGGGCCCTGCCTCTAAGAAGCTTATTAAGTTACAAGGCAAATTGTAATCCTTAGAATCATGGAGTTTTAGCTCTGGGTGGAAGGGATCCCCTATGTCTCATTGAATCCTGGTTCCAGGAAATTCATATGACTTACTCAAGGTCACACAGCCAGTTAGGAGATGCAGAGCCGGCACTAGCATTCAACTGCCTCATCCTTATCTTTATACAATTAATTGCTTTCTATGGATTAAAAATCTTACTGAAGCTGTTAAAAATCTGGAATTTAAAATGAACTGCATCCTACAGAACAATAGTGTGGAAAACTCTGAGGCCTGGCTTCTGATTGTTCCTCACAGAGAAGCTTCGGAAGGTCACTTACTCCCCGCACTCCGCCTCCCCCCACCCCCATAAACGGTATGTTATGACACATAACACTATAAACACCACAAAGAATGTGGGTAAAGACTGCAATCATCTGGCAGGACGGCACCTTATAATTTTCTAAGGACTTTTGGTAAACAGAGGGCACAGCCAGGATAGCTGAAGTCCCCAGTCAACTTCAGCAAAAGCCTTTCTGTGTCAAAGGTGTCTCTCCAGATAAATGCCAGACCAGGTGATGGTCCCTGTGGAAGGAGGTGAAAACGGTCTGAGATGTTCTGCTCTTTATAATGAGAGAAAACCAATTGAGAGAAGAAAAACAGGAAGGAGAAGATGAGGGAGAAAGGAGAAAAGAGGGAGGCAGGGTGGGACCCGGCGCCAGAAGGCCAGGGTGAGGCCCTGCCACCAGTGCCCACTCGCTGAGCAATTCCAGGAGAGGCGTTTGACCCTTACTCATCTGCAAATGGGAAACTGCAGCTCTTACCTCACAGGGCTGTTATGAGCATGAAGAAGTCCTGGATGCGAATGCACTCTGTCCACTAGAAAGAGGAGTGAAAATACTACTTGTGATTGACTAAGATCAAAGACCAACAGCTGGAGGGGTGGCCATGCCAGAGAAGGCTCGTGGCTGTTCAGTCCTTACTGAGTAATTAATAAACTCTAAATATTTGAATAGTAATATGATGAGTTTGGGTCCCATGTGCTTCATTTACAAGTGAAGGACATTGAACCCTTGGGGCTTTTGAACATTCTTATCTTGCCTAGCTTGCCCTTTTCCATGTTTATAACTGGAAAAGCCCCAACTTGTCCTGTGGTGATGACTGGGGATAAATCAAATGGATCAAAATGTTAATTTTTCTCTGGGTTAATAACTCAGAAAGAGATGTCCTCCCTTTAAATGAACATAAATTTATAGTTCACATGTACTCTGCCACAACCTTGTTAATTGTGTCCAGTGACAAGTGTTTATATACTCTGAAGTATGTGCTCAGAGTGACATTGGATACATCCACCATGAGCTTGCTTATGGTCAGATACTGGGAACAGTTTGGGGAAAAGTCAGGGTGGGAAAACACAGCTCTATACTGTGCAATCTCCACGGCAAGCTTAACACAACCTGTTGGAGACTCGTGTCTTTGCAGGCCCAACTGGAAGCTTACACTGAACACCTAACATCAGGGGATCAGCACATTTTTAAAATGGGTTCATGATGACATAAGAAATTCAGTTCACAAACTAAAGACCCAAAAGATGAACCCATGGGTTACTAAGAATGTGAGACTGAGAGAGGCAGAGAAAAGCAACTGATAGGTTCCCACTTGAGCAGGGGTTTGTTATTCTGTTGAAATCAAAACTGGTACTGACAGCACGTGTGATTCTAAACAGCTCAAAGGGGACTTGAGGGCCTCGCCCAGTCATTTGAGGTCAACCTTCAAAGAGAGAGGCTTCTCTACGAACATCCACAGAGACTCAGGGCTGCCCACTGGGCTATTTTTAAAAGCCCCGTGGTGGCCTAAGCATTAAAGGGATCATCATCACCCACTGTAGAATGACTCTCACACCCTAGCCTGGTTCCATTTGGTGAATTTCAAAATGTCTAACTTCTCCACAGAAGGAACTGACAGTGCAGACAGACCGGAAAGCTGGTCTCTGCACATTACATGTGACCAAGAATACATTTTGAAGATGAAACTAAATTCCACAGAACTATAGTGAACCCCCCAAATCACTGACCTCTCCTTTTCCTTCTCATTTTCAGCTGTTCCTCAAATGCTGACTTATTTTTTTGTTGAGCAAAGATCTCCAAGTGGGTGGGAACCTTTTCTATGCTTAGGAAACATTTACAAAGGGTGAAGTCCAGTAGTGAATGGGCCTCAATTTTTACTTTTGTTCATTTATCCCATAAAATACTCTCATTTGGGGTTTGTAGGAGCCTAATTTCTTTAATTTGGCTATTTTAATTATAGCTGAATACAATAAAATTATATTTTCTAAACCCTTTTTTTGGGCTTTCCCCAAATGAACCCTGACTGGCATCTCAGATGGTGAACAGTCTTCAAAAAATGATGTCTACTAATACCACAAGATGTGATCTTTGAGGGTAACCAAAAAACCCACTTCAAAGGTTTCCTCTTCTTTAAAATAGAGAGTTGTGAAAAATACATATAAATAGAAGAATCTGGGAAATCATTAAATTTCAAGAGCTATTTGGTAAGAGTGTCATTTTTATGACACCTCGAGTTTGATTCCTGTAAAACTGACAGGACATAAATGATGCACTTGTTTTATTTCTGGATAGGCCATGAATTCTGCCTAATTATGGTGTTCTATAAATAGACATGCCCCAACTCAGATCTGACACCTCCTCGGTAACATCTCAAAACATCCTTTGCAGGTTTTCAAAATGTCGGCTTGATAAACCTCTAAACTTCTGTAGGGTTTTGATGGGTGGAGAATTTTATAGAATAAACAGAATGACAGATTAATGCAGAAAGCAAGGACATACATAGTAAGGAGTAAGAGATGCTGGATTTCAGGTGAATGCTTTCTGGCCCAAGGAGTCAGACCGACTGGGGTTTGAATCTGTATTTTGTAACTTATAGGCTGTGAAGCCTTGGGCAAGTTACTTCAGCTTTCCGAGTGTCAGTTTTCTTGTGTGAGAAATGAAGATAGTGCTCAAGTCTGTGCTGTTATTGACAGGATCAGACAAAATAACGTATAATGTAAACCGTTGAGCTCCTGGAACACTGCAGACCCTTCATAAGTGTTGGTTTGTAAAAGGAAAACTGGGTCAAAAGAAATAAAGATTAATATACCAAAATCCAAGAGCATTTTTAATAAATAAATACAGCAAAGACAAAAACTTAGGTGACTTTTTGCCCATTTAAGCAACGAGTTCACAAATGGCCATAAAACTGCAGATGGTGTAAAGTGGGTGGCCTCGAAGGCCATTGTGCTGAGTTCTGCTTCTTATCTGCCCGAGACTGCTTCCTGGCCCCCTGCACAGCATGGCACTACCCCAGGAGCACACTGGCACTGAGAAGCTCAGACTGGAATCATTGGTACTTCAAACATGTTCCTTTATGAAAAGGAACAAGCCAGATACTATTCTCAGGGAAAAAAAAAAGACAAGCTTTTTTCCTAGACGTAAGCTCAGCAAGTTGACCGCCCCCTGTCCCCCAGCCCTCATCTGCACAAGAGCCTTCATTATTCCTGGTGTCAGTACAGAGCAGCATTCTGTGTCTTTCTAGACCCAGGCCATGCTGGGCCATCCAGAAGGCCTAATGCTCAAGGATGGCAGGAAGTCTCATGGTGCTTGACACTCCCAGGGAGCTCTTGGCTCTTTATTTAATTATATGACTGCGTCTTAAGTCATTAGGCCTCAGCAATGACTGGTAAATTAAATATGTCTGTGGTCATTTAAAAATAGTTCCAAAAATTTTTGAGATCTGCAGAGGCTATAACATAATTTACCAGCCTTGGTCATAAAATAATGTTGGGTATTGTGTACCCTGAATGTTAAGCTCAGCTGTATCAGCTGGAGAAGAGAAATACCACATGCCGAGCGGTCACTGAAAGGGCAAGAACAGACTTCCTGCCACAAATTATTAGGCTCAGGACAAGTAGGAGAGAGAAATCATTTCGGGAGAGCTGCAAGCAAGTGGACTGATAAACCGGTTAGCACAATTATCTTGCAGAATTGGAACAAAAGTAGCTGTGGCTCTAGAAAGGAAGTAGCTTATACCAGGAAGAAAGGATAAAGAGCAGTGACTCACAGGAGCACCGGTGACTGTAGAGTAGCTGAGCAATATGGGAGGAGAAGATGAGCACACACCAGGACGGAAGTTGGGTAGAGAGGAAAGAGTAGATAGAGATACTGTACATGAGGCCACAGCAGCCGGGGAGGCCTTTTTGACACAGGAGAGATTCTGCTGTATGAGCACACTGGCATGATGACAGAGGCTGCTGAGAAGAGATAAAGTGTTGGAAGGCAGCTCACCTGCCCAGTGGTCACCCTCTGTGAAGTCCTCAGAGCACACTGTCCACATCCCAAAGGCACACAGCTCACTATTTTGTAACAGGAGTTTTGGCAACACCCCGCCCCCAGCCCCCACCAGAATAGGCTCCCCGACCTTGTCCTGTGGGTGCTGAACAACTGTTGGATGAATGAGGCAAAGTGGTGAAGGCATGCTTGGCCCCAAAGCCAGACCAGAACACACTCACTGAACAGCAAGAGAATCTGGGAGGGGACATGGGTTCTTTGCCACCAGAAGACAAGGGGGAAGTGAGCTGACATCGTCTCCTGACCAGGGTACCAGCAGATTAGAAGAAGGAAGGCCAGTGGACTGGTTTTAGCTAAAGAAATGAAGCCAAAATAGAAGGCTAGACTGTGATCCATGAGGGCTGTTGGTCCTGGCTTTGTCACTGACAGATTAGGTGACCCTGGAAAAATCATTTGTCCTACTTTGTCCTTGTAAGATTAGGGAGTCACGATAGACCGCTGGTTCTCAAACTCAGCTGCTCATCAGAATCACCTGGGGAGCTTTACACACACACACACACACACACACACACACACGATTTGGAAGCTCGGGCACAGCGTCTAGAATTCACATTGGTTAATGCTACTGGGTGCTTCTGAGGGTCACTGGGACTAGATAAACTCAGGAGGCACTTCCGGTGTTAGAGGACAATGATTTTATGAAATGCGCACATATTTTTAAAAGAATAATTTTTCCTATGCTTTTCCTTAGTGGGTCATGTGCTTTTCTCTCTCCAGAGACATGACAGAACTGACTCTACTACTGGAAGGTGGTCAGCAGACTACCACTCACCCCTGCTGGGCACAAACTCCTGGGGCTGCTGAAAGGTTCAGCTATGAAGTAGGGGAGCCAGGGCCACTGTGTGCACGCTCACAGGCCACAGCTCAGAATGGGGATAGGGTGTGACCCCAAAACCATTTAGTTAAGTTAGGCTGAACCAACCTTCCTCCCACGGTTCCTCTGGGTCAAGGCGGTGACATCAGGTTCTATACCTTAGGCACAGAGTGACTAGTGGTGGCATTTCAGCACCCCACCAGTCCTACCAACACCACCTCTCTGCAATTTGCTGGTTACGTTCCATTTTGTCCTAAAAGAATAGCAGCTTCCAGGTAGAAAATGCATCGACCCGTCCCTGTGCACCAGGAGTTACACAGAGCACTTTGCAAGCCCTATCACCCTGAATCCTCACAAGCATCCTGTGATGCGCTCTTCTTAGCTTCATTTTACAGATTAGAAAACGGGTTGGAAAGTTTAAGTCATTTGCCCAAGATCACAGAGCGAGGAGCCAGAATCTAAACAAGGCTTGAGGCTCTCTTCTGACACATGACAAGTTCTGTTCCCTAAGGCTCCTGGAATGGGCAACCCATCCTCACTTTCTTTTAGAGAGGAGAGAGCGGGTCCCTTGCCTGAGGCTGCTGCCCCAGGTGTTTGCTGGCTTACCTTGGCCAGCCTCGCGCGCTTGATGAGGTCATTGAGTTTGCGCACCGCTGCCTTTTGGGGAAGGCTCTGGATGTCTCTGAAGAGGTCCTGGGCCTCGGCCTCGAAGAGCCGGCGGTTGTCAGTGTTCTGTAGGGGCTGCGCCCAGAAGGAGCCGATGTAGACGCGCAGCACCTCGGGTGTGTTGATGACCTTGCCTAGCGACCACATGAGGGCCCCATAGACGCGCATCAGCTGCTGCGTGTCCACTTGGTCGGCCTTGTTCAGCACCACACGGATCTTGTCATCCTGGCCCCGGAAGGCCTTGATGGCCTCTGAGAACTCGTCCGAGATGTCCAGTTTGTGAGCATCAAAGAGCAGGATGATCCTGTCGACCCGCTCAGCAAACCACTGCAGGACCTGGCAGAAGTCGTACCCTAGATGGAGAGAGGGGCATGTTGGCACAGCCGCTGCTGCAGGAGACACACTTCCAGGGAGGGTCCTGTCTCCACGCTAGAGGCAGTGGAGGATTCAGGACCTGGAAGTCACTTTGAATGGGGCTCCCTGGGTTGGATGCATTTAATCAGTGATGGGGATCCCGGGAGCCTTTCCATGGGAAGAAACAGAGAATAGAAAGGGGCTCACGGACAACGCTTACTTCCATATCTGTAATTTCATTTAGTCCTTACCAGTCTCTTATTTCACCTAGCACTGTCCTTTTGAGCAATGGAAAAACTGATTGGTGGCTCTGTAAAACTGCAGGCCCTGGATCGAAAGCTCTTCTGTCAAAGTCTCACTTTTCTGAAAGTACCAAAGATGGAGAAGGACAAAAACCTGGAGGCCACTTGGAATCCCATGGGGTGTCCCCTAAGCACAACAAAAAAGGAATCGCTTTCTCTTAACCCAAGTTTTTAAGGGTGTTAAGGAGGCCAAAACTGTGACCAATATTTATCATTCGGACTATTTATATCTTAAGGATGTTGTAAATATCTTTAAAAATTATGTCTTAGAGCCATTCTGTGCCAATTTCTTTTTTAAAATGGCTAGGCCCACAACAGATTCTGTTTAGTTTGCTTTGGCCACGTACCAATATGCTCTGAATCATGCAGCTAAATCAACACTCCTCTTAGTCTGTGGTCAAGACTTTCAGGCATTTCCCCAGGGAGCAGAGACCCATGAAAGGCAAACAAGAGGAGGCCAGTCCCACAGAGTTTATTTTTAATTTCAATCTGATTAGCTGTGGAATCAGAGTCTCAGTGCAGCCCAATCAGAGCCCAAGGGCACCTTTCTTGACTCCTGATTTAGTGCTTGCATCTCTTTTTAGATTTTGAAAACATCCAAATGCATAAAAGTCTAGAGAATCATATAAATGTTGATAGACTCATCAGGTAACTTTAATAAATTTTGACACTTCAGATATTTTAAATAATTTAAGTCTAGTTTATTTTCATAATGAAATACCATACAGCACTGAGAATGAACCGATGATAAGATTATCACTGTCAGCAAAGGTAAGTCTCCAAGAAAATTGGTGAGTAAAAAATCAGTTTGAAAGGATATATATAGCTTAACATTCGTGTAAAACACTAAAAAAGCCCCCCAAAAACAAAAAACCCACAAAGCAATATACTCAACAGCCAATGGATACATACTGAAGCACAAATACAAAATGTTACCACCTATTTTGGGATATTGGGAGTGAGGGATCTAAGGTGGATGAGAAAGCACCTAGAGGAGAATAACCTATTAGGCAGAAATAAAAGGGGTCCATGCATTAAAGTTTTCATGAATTTAAAGAACAGGTGTGGGGGAGCAGTTGAACAAGCAAACTGGATTCAGATGCATTTTTAATAAAAAAACCCAAAATGTTTAGCAATGCTGAAGCCCCCCTGTGTACCCTTTCCAAGCCCTTTCCTCTGCCTCCTCTCAGAGAAAACCACAGCCTGAATGTGGTGTTTATCGTCACCATGTGTGTTTGGGTACTCCCGGGTCACGCGTTTCACTTCTCTATTCTTCTTCGCTGTGGCACTCCCTGATTCTGTGGGGACCAGGAAGCAAAGGTAGTTCTCAGAATATGGGCCGGAGTTTATTTTCATCGCTGACAGCAGCCAGGTTAGAACAGAGAAAAATCAAAGACCTATTGATTGGGTCGCACAGTAGAATGTAAAGATTCAGAGTTAAGATTTCATTCCGAGTTATCCCTGTGAGGCCAGAACAAACTGCCTCCCAAGGTAACAGTAAGTGGTTCTGTCATTCAAGACTGACTTATGGCCCAGAGAGCCCCAGATGCTGGTAGTAGATCCTCAGCAGATGAATGAAGGTGCTGTTCCCTGGGAGCTGGGAAGATACTTTGCAACCACCCACCAGAAGGATCTGCATGTGAACTTGCTTTTCCAAAAGGGATGATCGACTTATCAGTCTAATCCAACCCTCTCTCATTCAGTCTCCTTCGTGACCAAAATTGGGTAACTGAAGGCTCAGAAACATGAAAGAAAATGCTGTGTCAGATGAATGCTGGAGTGGACACGAGTTGTGTTTTACTGCACGCCCTTCCTATGGAGGGTGGTCCTCATGGGCCAAAGAAGCTGCAGGTGTGGCAGATAGTCCCTTGCCCACTTGTTAGCAGGTTGTGGTACAGACAGAGGATTTAGAATCAGACAATCTCCTTCCACCAGAGTAGGGTATTGAATTTTAAGAGAATGATGCAAAACCATAGGGAGGATGAGAATTTATTCATGGTGGAGGTGGCTGAATTGAGAGTCTAGTGGTGGTGGCTTCCTAACCTAGTTTTTGAGCCTAGTTCTCCAACCTTCCAGTTAATTCTATGAATGACCTGATCTTCCAAATATCCCTTTTCTGCTTAAGTTAGCCAGAATCAGCTTCTTTGGTTTGCTTCCAAGAACCACGATTGGTAAATAATTTTTCCGACATCTGAATATTTTTGAACTCTGGATGCCTCTTACAGTCAGTGCCAAAATAAACTTGCCACCCCTGTCACTGTCACCACTAGTGCATGTGCAAATTTAGCCACACGGACATGCATCTCTTCCTCCGAGGGCCAGCTGTGTTGAGCGGTTGGCTTTGATAGCACTGCATCTGTTTAAACTTTAACTTCAACTTGGGTTCCTAATAGTTATTTTAAATGTCTTTTAAAAAGACTTCATTCCAATGCTCCAGTGCAATGAAAAGCTACTGATAACAGAGCTGCCATATATAAGTTAACCATATCCATTATTCATCTCTGGAGGAGTGACTGCATGTACATATTTTCTTGTTTTAAAGTAACAAGAGCTCGGTAAGGTTTAAGAAGTCTAGGTACGTAGAACTGTGTCACTGAGAAGCTGCAAAAGGATTGCTTGTCACACATCATGAAATGAAATCAAAGGTGAAAAAATCACCAAGTATCTCAGGAGAAAGCAGAGAATTATCAAAGCTGGGAGAGGTTTGTTTGCTCAATCCTGCACCCCTCCCCCCCCACGCAAACAGTTTTTAATATTATTATTCAGTGGCATCAAGTACATTTATGCTGTTATGCGACCATCGCCGCCATCCATCCCCAGAACTGTTTGCATCTTCCCAAACTGAAACTCTGTACCCATTAAACACTAACTCTCCAGTCTCTCCTTTCACAGTCCCTTTGCAACCACCATTCTTTTTGTCTATGAATCTGACTACTCTAGTTACCTCATATAAATGGAATCATACAGCATTTGTCTTTTTGTGACTGGCTTACTTCACTTTAACATAATGTTACCGAGGTTCATCCATGTTGCAGCATGTGTCAAAATTTCCTTCCTTATTAAGGCTGAACAGGTATGCTCATTTCTTTTATCTTCATGACATAAGATGGGCACCAAATACCAAAAATGCCTTGCTGATTTTTAAGAAATTATTTAAGATATGATATTTAGTCTGACTGAATAAAGGCAGAAGGAAAACAGTGATCTGAAGGACCTAGAGACCACTGATTCTCAAAGTGTGGTCTTGCATCAGAATCAAATAAGGGGCTTGCTAAAATTTAGACTTCCAGCTGCTCCCTAGAACCATGGAATTTAAATTCCTGGGGGTGGGCTTGGTGATCTGAATTTTATAAGCTCCCTAGCCAATTTCAATGCCTGGTAAAGTTTAAGGACCACTGCCTTAGATTAAATATCAAGGCATGGAAGGCAGATATGTCTTTGTTATTTTGGTCAGCAAAACAAAACACACTTAGTTTCTTTTGATTTTATAAAGTTACAAATATATGGTTAGATGGTGCATCACTGAAATGGGGAAACAGAGAATTTGAATTTGCTTATTTGAAGATGGCTTTTAAAATTCATGAAAGCTCCCCTATCTTTGCTCATGCTGGGCCTTGGCCCTGGCAAGCCCTTCCCCTCTGGTTTAGGACCTAGAAATCTAGCCCAAACCCTCTTCATTCCTTAAAACACCAGGGTGCATCCTGATTAAGTTACATACTACTTCTTTAAGCCCCAATTTTCTCATTTGTAAAATCGGGTTACTAAGTGATTACCTGAGAAAATGTTTTTAGTGTGCTTAATATAATGTCGAGACTTAGTAAGCTTTCAATCAATATAAGCTATTATTATTTCTGACCCTCTCCCCTGTTGCAGGTGAACTCAATTGCTCCCTCTGCCAAGCTCCCAGAGCCCTTTGCTTGTGATCACACCACTTTATTCAGTGTGTTATCAGATGGATGTATGGGGTGCTCTCATTAGATCATAAATTCTTTAACCGCAAGGACGATGTCTTCTTGGTTGCACAAGACGGTGGTTATCAGTGTGGTCTTTGGACTTAGACTGCTTGAGATCAAATTCTGGCTCCGTCACTTACTAGTTCTGTGACCTTGGGCAAGTGACTTAACCTCTCTGTGCCTTGTTTTCTCATCTGGAAAAGGGAGCTAAATATAGTATTCACATACTTTATGGTGCTGCTGAGTTAATATGTGTGAAGCATTTAGAAAGCTCTACAAAATGTTATCTACTAGTTATTTTTAAAATCTTTGTATCCAGTGCCTGGTGTATGGTGGGAGGTACAAAAAATTTTTGTTAAGGATGCCTGGCTGGGTGAAGTATAGTCTGTAGCCATGGAAAGAAACAAAATTAATTAGCACAAAGGTAACAATACAATGATGCTTGAGCCAAGTGAGAGCACCAGTGCTCAGAAAATAGCTAACGGAAGATGCCGACTGAGCAGAGAACCACTCATATTTTATAAATAGAGATAGAGGACGCACAAAGACCCAGTAGCCTTTCTTTCCTTGTTTGTTAAATGGGCAGAGTTCTACCAGTTGGTCTTAAAGACCTTGGGTCGTACCTAAAATAAATCTATGATTCTATTGCAGACACCTCCTGGCTTAGGAAAGTCCTGCATATACCACAACTGGCTGGGATAACTCAGGGCATGCACTGTACTCTATAGGAGGAGAGTAATGAAT